GCGCCTGATTCTCTGATCATGGCTGGGGGGCAGGGCAAAGGCGGCTCTTAGCTCCCCGCTGGGTTTCCGATCACTGTCAGTGGCAGGGGGCTTCTTCCTGCTTTCCCTTTAGCCTCCCTGCATTGTGCCTACATATGCAAATTAACCGCCATCTTTGTTGGCGGTTAACTGCCATCAGAGTTGGCAGTTAATTTGCATATCCCCCTGATTAGCCAATGAAAAGGGTAGCGGTCGTACGCCAATTACCGTATTTCTCTTTTATTAGTGTAGATAATTTACTCCAAGGAATTGTCTTGCTCAATTGTAGGGCTGTCAAGTCTAAAATCCATAGGGCAGGCTGGAAACTCGGGCTGGATTCAATGCTGCAGTTCTTTTCTTTTTTTAACATATTTTTTAAATTGATTTCAGAGAGGAAGGGAGAGGGAGAGAGACATAGAAACATCAATGATGAGAGAGAATCATTGATCGCTGCCTCCTGCATGCCCCCTACAGGGGATCGAGCCCGCAACCCGGGCACGTGCCCTGACCAGGAATTAACTGTGACCTCCTGGGCTCATCGGTTGATGCTCAGCCACTGAGCCACGCAAGATTCCTTCTTCCTCGGGAAAAACTCAGGCCTCTCCACTGCATGGGGCCCCCCACGTTGTTGAGAGAGCCTCTGACTCAATGTCCATGGATTATCGATTTGAACCACATCTACCTCATACCGTCCCAGCAACACCTAGATCAGCATTTGATCAGATAACTGGGTGCGAGAGCCTGGCCAAGTTGGCAGAAAGCTCCTCACAACCCTCCCCCCAAAAACGGTGTGTTACTATCTGAGCCCTGTCCATTTCCCAGAGCTCCCCTAATGGATTGGTGAAATTAGTGAGAAGTGGGTGCTAGCTTTATTCTCATTTTACCGACAAGGAAAACCGAGGCTCAGAGCGGGAAGGGAACCCCCTGGCCGCAGAGCGCTGGAGAGCCGCAGAGCGATGTTTGCTCCCAGCCCGCTCAGACGTTCCCACTGTTTTACTCGGGTCCTTGGTTCCCTAGTCCGGGTCGCTGAGCAGTTGGATGCTCCCCCCACCTTGACATTTAGGCTAGATCGGTGGCCGCGTAGGACCTTCAGGGGCCGCCCAGGGAGGGAGGCTGAATCACACCCGGATGAGAACTGAAGACAGTGCTGGCTGCACCACCGTGCAGTTCCCTGCCAGGAGGAGATGGTGGCCAACCAGGGCTCCCTGCTCAGCCGATGGGAGAAGCTCCCCAGGCCAGAGGGCTGCTTCCCTATGGTCCTCCTCGGGTTGATGCACTTGTGCTGACTGGGCACAAGGGGGCGGTAAAGGGCAACGACCGGAATTAGCTCTGCCCACTTCATTTCAACCTGGAGGGGGTCCTCAGTCCAGCCTCAGTTTCCTCTCCTGTGACATTGGCTTCTGCCTCCTCATATGGCTGCTGTGAGGAGCAAATGAGATCTTGCCCTGGACAGTCCAACCCGGCACACAGCGAATGCCCTGTCCGTGAGGGTCAAACATGATTCTAGCTGATTCCGGAATAGGAATTGCAACCTCAGACGCTGAAGCGCGCGGGCAGGCAGCGTCAAGGAGAGAAGGAGCTGGAACAAAATTCCAGCACCCGGCTGAACAGGAGAGGCGGCCAGTCAGTTCCTGGTGGTGCTTACCACATGTAAGGGCAGATTTGATTCCAGAAAAGACAGGAAACTGGAACGTTTGTGTCAGATCTCTGATTTAACCGCAGATTTAAAGTGCTTAAATGCTGTGTGGGCTGGATGGAACCAGGGGTGGTGCATCTGCCATCAGTCTGCAATTTGGGGCCACCTTGCACGTGGGTAACGTGCTTCCTGTACGCCAGGACCCTGGACCGAGTCATGAGTCAGCAGCCCCACCCCTCCCCCACGTTGAGAGCAAGGGAGGCAGCTACAGAGAAGAGGAACAGAGCAGTGCGTACATGAAACGCCTTTTTATTTGTTTTTTAAATATATTTTTATTGATTTTTTTACAGAGAGGAAGGGAGAGAGATAGAGAGTTAGAAACATCGATGAGAGAGAAACATCGATCAGCTGCCTCCTGCACACCCTCTACTGGGGATGTGCCCGCAACCAAGGTACATGCCCTTGACCGGAATCGAACCTGGGACCCTTTAGTCTGCAGGCCGATGCTCTATCCACTGAGCTAAAACCCATTAGGGCATTGAAATGCCTCTTTAAAACCTTCTTCTAACTTTATTAGAAGCTTGCCTTTATAAAAAAATATATAAAAAATATATTAAAAATATACAGTTGAGCCCAGTCAGCAGGGCTCAGCAGTTGAGCATCGACCTATGATCCAGAAGGTTACGATTCAATTCCCAGTCAGAGCACATGCCCAGTGTGGGGTGTGCAGGAGGCAGCCAATCAATGATTCTCTCTCATCATTGATGTTTCTATCTCTCCCTTCCTCTCTGAAATCAATTAAAAATATTTTTAAAAAAACAGTTGAGGTGAAATTCATGTAACATAAAATTAACCCTTTGAATGCACGAATTAGTGGCATGTGGTGCACTCCCATGTTGTGCAGCCATCACTTCTGTCTAGTTCCAAAACGTTTCTATCACCCCAAGAAGGAGCCCTGTCCCCCTTAGCAGACGCCCCACACACACACCTCCCCCCGGCCCCTGGCAACCACTAACCCCCTTTCCGTCTCTAGGTGTGCCTGTTCTGGACATTTCACATAAACGAATCACATACTGGGTGGCCTTTTGTGCCTGTCGTCTCTAACTTAGCATACAGTTTTCGAGGTTCATCCATGCTGTAGCATGAGTCCCTGCTTCCTTCCTTTTCATGACTGCATAATATTCCATCGTGCGGCTGGGTCACACTTTATTTATTCATCCATCGATGGATAGATATCTGGGTTGTTCCCACTTTTTGGCTATTGTGAGTCATGCTTCTGTGAACATTCGAGTATGGGTTTTCGTGTGGACGGATGTCTTCATTTTCTTAGGGCCTCTGCTCTATTTTGACCTCCAGGAGAGCAGGGCAACATCTGATTCACCCTGTACCTCCAAAACCCATCAAAGCACCTGGAAGGGAGTGGTTACTCAGAGAACATTCAGTGCGTGGTGCATGGGGGGAAGGTGGGAGGGAG